CTTAAGTGAAATCCAAACCCATTTGTGCCTGGCCTTCTGCGCTGGAGTGTATTTCCCCATTGCTGCAGAGCAGCGTATTCTAAACCATTGAGTGCCCTGGTGGCAGGGAATTAAATCCCACAAATCAGGTGCTGGCGAAGGTGCAGGAGGGAGGTGGTTGTCAAAGATTCTGTTCTTGGTGTAAAACCATGGCAGGCCCAACGCCACGCGGCATGCTGCTGTGTTTTAGAGCACTTCGGCACAGCGCTTGTTTCCTTGTGGTGTTATCCCTTCCCCTTGCCCCCACCGCGTTTTGCTGCAGTGTGAAGAGCTCCCATTCTTTCTCATTTTTGGACTTGTTGCACTAAACAAAACTCGAGTGATGCTTATGTCTCGCCTGACAGGTTTGAAACTTCGGGATTTCCTGGTTGACAACGAGACCTTCTCAGAGTTTCTCCACCAAAATGTTTCCGTGCCATTGTTTGCTGTGGATGAGATACTGAATGCAGAGGTCAACCTCCAGCAGGTAAGCAACTCTTTCAGGCAGCATTATTAATAATTATTATTGGGGTAGCATCTGGGAGCCATGCCCCATCGTGCTAGGTGCTGTACTAATAGTAAAAATGGTTTCTGGCCACAAAGAGCTTACAATCTCATCTTGGCTGGTGTGCTGCAAGGCTGTAAAGAGGACTTGCAAATCCACATAGAGCCTCTGGAAATGCCTAAAATACACAGAACACTTCAAAAGCCAAAGCGAATCCTCAAGTTCCGCTTTCCAATGAAAACACATTTCCAACCAGCGCTGTTGAGTCTCCTTTACTTTTCTTGATCAATTACAAAGAAGAAATGGCCCTGTGGATAAGTCACAGGACTGGGAGCCAGGAACTCTGCTGGAGACTGCCAGAGTGACCTTGGGCAAATCACTTAATTTCTCCATGCTTCAGTACCTCATCAGTCCAGTGGTGAAGGGTTCCTTTTTCCCACCCTGTGTCTTTTGTTTAGATTGCCAGTGCTTTGTGACAAGGACAGTGTGCTTGAATAGAACGTAGGAGAACCAAGCGAATAATCGACTTTTTCCCCCAAAGGAGCTGGAGAAAACAATTCATTCAGTTTGACCCCAAATGATTTTTATTGATTTGTTTTGAGTAATTTTGGGCTGCTTTTTACCTGTTGTCTTGGTTTAAAAAATTAGCCTAATTTCTAACAGTTTTGAAAAGTCAAAATGTTGTTTTGAAATGGTCAAAATGAAGCATTTTGATCTTTCATGGGGGAAAGAAATCAATTTTGGGGTCTGAAACTATTCCCCAAATTTGACCCAAATGCATAAATTTGTTTTCACTATTCATTGGAAATTTACATTTTGATCTTTCATGGGGGAAAAAAATCAATTTGGGGGTCTGAAACTATTCACCAATTTGTCCCAAATGCATACATTTGTTTTCACTATTCATTGGAAATTTTTTACCCAGCTATAGTGCTTAATACAATGGTGCCCCGTTTTTGGCTGAGACCTGTAAATGCTACTGTGCATAATACAGGAAGGTGCGGGGATGAACTACTGGAACCCTTGGTAGATGTTTTCTCTGTCCTGCTCACAACTTTGGGTTTCTTACACTAGAAATAATCAATGGCCGACCAAACTCCTTCTCTTCCTGCCATTGGCAAGGGCGGGTTGTTCCAGATTTCAGATCAAGACGTATGCTCACAGTAATGCAAGTTACCAAGCAGTTTCCTAACATAGAGGGAAAACCCTTCTTCTTATCCCTGGTCTTGGTCAGTTTGGTGAGTTAGGATGGTGGTTTAGCCCTTTTAAACTTTGATCCAACTCAATCCCAGATGCTGGTTTTGTTTATATAAATGTTTCGAGGATTTGACCAAATCATCTGCCTGTGATAATTAATTCTAGAAATGAATAATATGTTACTCTTAAAAAAATTATTTGTATCTATTTTAAGGAATCAGTCTGCAGCCCTCATTTTTCTGAAACTTAAAACAGAATCAAAGAGACACACATATTAGATATGCACATGGGATAATTGAAGGAATTTAACAACAACATGCATAGTGCTGCGTATTGGGAATGCAGAGACAGCTTCTAAATAGTTTTATTTCGTTAATTAATCTAACTGGGGTTTTGACTACCTTGGCCTTGATTTGGTAGCCACAGCAGCAATTGGGAAGCAGGTGTAAGCGAGAGGAAAAGTAATGCTTTCAGCAGCCCGATGTATCAGAGCTACTCTGGTAACACTAGGGGGAAAACTCTAGCTAGGTTTCCATTGAATGGCTTGAACTTACACCTTGATCTTCTCAGTAGAAGCACACAGTGCGTGTGGACTCTGTCAGTGTTGTTGGAATGGTGTTTTCCAGCCCCATCATATTTTACCCTGATGTATAGTAGCAGCCCTAAACCAAAATCAAGTTGCGCAGCCGCACGATGGAACCCTGGAGCCTGATAGGGGACTTCTGGCCCAACCGTAACACAACTAATGAATCAAAGCAGGCTCCCTTCTTCCTGGAAATGTCATGATCTGACGTACGGCTCAGGAAAAGCATGATGTAGTCCCAAGTGATGTCACAGGCGAGTCGTGGGGGAGGCTGCCTTTACCACTGGATGGCACTTGGATGGTCCAGGAGAGGAGAGATTGTTTTGTTTTCGTGGCTAGGAATGAAGAAGGAGAGGGGAGGGTCTGCACTGAGTTAGTCTGGCACCCACTACTCATAGACAGTCCTATTCCCAGCTCTGCTTGCAAGTTAGGACTCTGTACCCTCCCGTCTGAGACCTGGGATTATTTCTCATGCTCATTCTCCTCAGAAAAGCAGGCGTGGCCAGTGCCAAGGAGACATTATTGGAATATCGTTAAAGCTCCGAGCAGGGTCATGTTGTTTGTTGGGCTAGGTACCATACAAACACATGCGATGAGATACAAGGCCTCTGCCTTGAACAGTCTAATCAGCGCTTGGGGAATATCAGAACGGCCACACTGGGTCAGACCAAAGGTCCGTCTAGCCCAGAGTCCTGTCTGCCAACAGTATCCAATGCCAGGTTCCCCAGAGGGAATGAACAGAACAGGGAATCATGAAGTGATCCCTCTTCTGTCATCCATTTCCAGCCCCTGACAAACAGAGGCTAGGGACACCATCCCTACCCACCCTGGCTAATAAGTATTGCCGTCCTCCATGAATTTATCTAGTTCTTTCTAGAACCCTGTTAAAGTCCTGGTCTTCACAACCTCCTCTGGCAAGGAGTTCCACAGGTTGACTGTGCGCTACATGACAAAAAACTTCCTTTTGTTTGTTTTAAACCTGCTACCTATTAGTTTCATTTGGTGACTCCTAGTTCTTAAGGTCTTTCCCGACCTTAGTCAAGAAAGGTGACACCGACTGAGGTCACTCTACCACAACGCCTCAGGCCAGTCAGGCTAAGATTTTCAAAGGAGTGTTGATTAATTCCAGAGAGAGATCCACCCAGAACTCCTCAGCCAGGAGCTGGGGATTTGAGCCCTAAAAGCACAGACAGCTGTAAAGCCACTTAGACTGTAGGCTTGTTGGTATGGGATGTGTCTGTTTTCTGCATGTGTCCGGCACCTAGCACAGTGGGTCTTGGTCTATGACTGGGGCTCCTCCGGGCTGCCGCAGAATAACTAATATCCAGGCAGAACAATTACACCTCAGCCACTCCTGGCTGGGCAGTATATGGAACAAATCTCCCGGTTGTGTGTGCACAGCTCTTTGTCAACAGGAAAGGGTGTTGTGACCCAGGACCTTGAAACAAAGCAGCTTGTGCCTTGTTTTCCAGAGACAGTCCCAACTTGTGCAAAAATGATCTCAAACCTTTAAGAGTCCTTGGGGGAATTTGCCTGTCATGTATCATTTATGCTTCTGTGTGAAGTCGCCAGAATTTCAGACAGATTGTAAATTTCATGAAGCTGTGACTTCATGGGATTGTTTTTTTTTTTTCTGGTACTGGCTGCTGCTATATTTTTTAATTAATACAAATATTTTGTTGTTGTTCGTTGTGTTACAATAGCACCCGAGCCTCCCTGGGCCGTACTGTCAAAGACAGCCCTCGTGTGCCGGAGTTCACAGTCCAAGCCAGCAATGGGCAACCTAGGCTAGCGAGGGGGTTGCCTGAGCAGTCCTTCTTCATCTCTATGCTCAGCCGCTGTCCATGTGGCGAACTGCCCCATGGCAAACAGACTCACTGAGTTTCTTGTATTTGTCACCAGCACGAAGCATTTTCCGTTGTACGTCCGAAGGACCCGAGTGCCATAATAACCGGTTAAAGAGCTTAGGGCATAGACCCAGGGCTGAGGGGGTAGATCCCATATGAGGAGAGGTTAAAGTGACTGGGACTTTTCAGTTTAGAAAAGAGGAGACTGAGGGGGGATATGATAGAGGTCTATAAAATCATGAGTGGTGTGGAGAGGGCGGATAAAGAAAAGTTATTTATTAGTTCCCTAAATAGAAGATCTAGAGGACACCAAATGAAATTAATGGGTAGCAGGTTTAAAACTAATAAAAGAAAGTTCTTCTTCACACAGCGTGTAGTCAACCTGTGGAACTCCTTGCCAGAGGAGGCTGTGAAGGCTAGGACTAGAATAGAGTTTAAAGAGAAGCTAGATAATTTCATGAAGGTTCGGTCCATGAAAGGCTATTAGCCAGGGGATAAAATGGTGTCCTTGGCCTCTGTTTGTCAGAGGCTGGAGAGGGATGGCAGGAGACAAATCGCTTGATCATTGTCTTCGGTCCACCCTCTCTGGGGCACCTGGTGCTGGTCACTGTCGGCAGACAGGATATTGGGCTAGATGGACCTTTGGTCTGACCCAGTACGGCCGTTCTTATGTTCTTATGAAGTTCTTCGTTTCCTTCCCAGATATTAAAGCAGGAGTCCTTCATTTAAAGTTGGAGGTGTCTGTGGACAGGAGTTAGGGAGCGGGTCTTTTCTCCATTGATGTCAGTGGCCGTGTTCCCATTTACTTGGTTAGCTCAGGGTCAGTGCCAAACATTGCAGATATACAAGCGCTAGACTGTGGCTGCTGCTGCTACTCCTTTGCGAGCATGTCAGGAAGAGAGAGGTAGGAGGGACCGGCCCCCCTCCATTTCATGACCGTTGCCAGCTGGCGAGGCAGGCCACGGGCCCTTCCCCTACTTCCTGCACACCCATTCTCCCTTGCCTGCCACGTTGTGCTCTGAGTGCGCGATGCAAAGCCCATTACAGTTCCAAGGGAGTCTGCCCGTTAACGTTGGGTCATTAATTTGGAGAGGGCTTTGTGTGGGAGCGTCACTGGCAGGATTCCTGGGCTCCTCGCTCCTGCCTTGCACGCCCGCTCGTGAGGCGAGAGGACTCTGGATTGCCAATGGTTGCTGGAGAGAGAATGCGCCTTCCAAATGATCTATCCTAGGGGGTCTTTCTTCCTCGTGTTTGCCACACCTTGAGTTTGCCCATAGACCTTCACTCGTAGGGGCTCAGGCCCTGGACAGATAGAGATTGGCCCATGCATGCGCCTTGTTTTTGAGGAAATGGTTGATGTAGAGGAGGGAGGAACCATGGAATCCTTGGGGAGAAATACTCCCTCCCTTCTAGCCTCGAAAGTTATGAATTCTGATGTAGCTCAGCGATCAATTCTGGCTCCGTGGAATGAGTTGAGTGCCAGGAATGATTTACTGACGGCATCATGCATCGTTTCGTAACTTCCCAGGTCGTCCTGTCCGGCTACCGCATGCAGCTGAAAGATCTGTGCAATGCATCGAAGCTGTCGGACTTTGTCACAATCCACAACCCGATCGTGGCGGTGGTCAGCGAAGCCTTCCTCTGCACCATGGCTCAGGAGACGCTCCACGCTGCAGAGCAGTCCTTCCGGGCTAATCTAGACCTTTTGAAGCCCGTAATGGTAAGTGCGCTGGCTGTACAATGTGGGCGGCATGTGCACTGTCAACTGGGAGAGGGTAGCCCCTAGCTCCGCCCCTTCCACTTGACATCCCGCCCCTTCTTCCCTCTGTCAGTGCCCAGAGGGTCCACCCATACTGCAACCACTGTACACCACCCCAGGCTCGTCCTCCCAGTTCCAGGGCACTTGCGGGGGGTATGGTGGTTTGGAGCTGCATGCGGAGAGGGGGGATCTAGGAGCAGAGCATGGGCAGGATCACAGCTGGCTCATGGAGCCTGTGGTACCCACTGCCCATGCGGTACAGTTATACCTCCGGGAGAGCATCAGGGCTGGGAATGGGTGCTTTCTGGAGGGCATGACACCGTGCTTGGTCGTAGAAGCTTTCGGGACATGTGAGGGTGAGGTGCTCCAGAATGCGCGAACAGACTGTCAGTAAGGAAAATGGAAGAGGGTTCTGGATCCCCACACCAATCACCCGGCTTTCTCCTGCCACACTGCCGCGCTCTGTTGATCGGGGTGCTCTGTTAAATGAGGACATGGCCTGGGAATGCGTCTCTGCATTGATTTGTCAGGAGAAAAACACCCATGCGGTATGGTAACAAATGGGCCATTCATTGTTCCCGTAGTTTGATCAGATGTTGTGCCCCAGCTGGAATGTGCCACAGAGGGCTGCCAGAACAGTCCGCCTTAGCGCGTTCGTATGTTTGCACAGTAAGAAAGCATGTGCACCACGGCAGCCATACTCCTTGAGTAGCACAGGCTCGCACGCGCTTTCTCTCACGTGCTGTCTGTCACTCACGCGCACGTGAGGTATGAAGTCCAGATTCAAAGACAAGTGAAGGGGAATCTTTAATAAACTTTAGATCAGCCCCTAAATATTGTAGCTCCATGCAGGTTGCAATTAGAAGAGCAGCCCAAATTATTAAAGGGCTAGAAGACATGAACTATGTGAGAAAACGAAAAGAACGAGGTTTGTTTACTTTGGAAAAGAGAAAACTGAGCAGAGACTTGGTCGTAGTTTTCAAGTACCTTAAAGGGCGTTACAAATAGGAGGGAGAAGAATTATTCTTCGTAATCTCTGAAGACAGGACAAAAAGGGGCTTAGATTGCAGCAAGGGAATGCTTAGGTTGGACAGCAGAAAAAACTTCCTAACTCAGGATGGTTGAGCACTGGACTAAATTGCTTAGGGAGGAGGATGTGGGAGCTCCATCACTGGAGATATTTAAGAGCAGATTAGACAAATATCTGTCAGGGATGGTCCAGACGATTCTTGGTCCCGCTGTGAGGGCAGGGGACAGGACTGGATGACCTCTCGAGGTCTAGGGTTCCGTGACTCTGCGATTCCATGATTATTTAAACTCAAGGTGCTTGATGAAAATATTTGCAACAGACACGTTTGTTTAATTTGGGATCCGGGTGCCTCTTTGCATACCTATAGTAGCATACACAAGAACGTGACTGAGTGGATACTAACAATAGCAGCCCAGAAAAGAAGGCCTCTATAGAATCCACTTGATTGTCCTATAAAATAAATACGCCACCGTCTGTTGATAGTAATTCAGCGCTTTGCGTTCTGATTATCCATATTCAACATGCCTCACAGGACAGAGAGTCGAACAGCAGTTGCTTGGTGTTTTCCCTGGCAAAGGGGATGACTATTAAGCACCGGAATCAGATTACTCTTCAGGTCTTCCTTGACTGTAATTCATGCTCTGTTTTGCACGTCTCTTCCATGCATGTTTTGTCCTTTCCGAGAGGCTACCTCTGAGTAGGGGATAATAACGAATGCCAAACGATGACGTAACAGCAGACGCAGAGAAGAAAGAGGCTACCTCTGAGTAGGGGATAATGATAATAACGAATGCCAAACGATGACGTAACAGCAGACGCAGAGAAGACAGCACAAAAGTTGGTCCTTTAGTGGAAAGAACTGCTTTGAAAAGGCCTCTGGGGAGGAAAGCGTTTCAGGGCATGAGGGGACAGGAGAGGCTGAGATACGGTTATGTCCCATAATTAGATGCTTATAAGTGAAGATTGCATTTTGTGGGCTTGAAGTGGTTTATAGGCTCCTTTCTGTCCCTCTGCAGAGGTGTAAACATTCACATGGCCGAACCCAGCCTCTCTCGATCTGGGCAGTTGGCACCTCCCAAAACTTGAGGCGCACTCACCTTGCACGCAAAGATTTTCAGATGCCCGTCCGAGTTTGTGCCTCTGTCTGCCTACTCATGGGCAGGTTGACACTCGTGGGCAGGTTGACGAGGGTACAAGTACTGAGATTTGCACCCGCCATTCAAAGGGAGTAAATTACTTGAGAATAAACTGGCCCCGAAAAAGGAGGCCAGTGGTTGGAAATACTGCTCATAAGCTTTCTTAATCGTGAAATGAATGTCGGTTCCGGCCAACTCTCTCAGCACAAGCCCAACTTCCTCATTTTCCCCCGTCCTCGGGTATGAAACTTGCATTCTGTAATGACAAGGTCACGAATATGTTCACGGTGAAGATCATAAAAGGATAAAAGTGACTCGTGAAATGAATGTCGGTTCTGGCCAACTCTCTCAGCACAAGCCCGACTTCCTCATTTTCCCCCGTCCTCGGGCATGAAACTTGCATTCTGTAATGACAAGGTCACGAATATGTTCACGGTGAAGATCATAAAAGGATAAAAGTGCTCATTAGTAGGATATGTGTAGACATACTCTCAGTAAAGTCCGAATTCTTTAGGCCAGCAGAAATAAAACCACTGACCATATCTAAGGCCAGGTCCCGCAGAACATTGCTCATTAGTAGGATAAGTGTAGACATACTCTCAGTAAAGTCCCGATTCTTTAGGCCAGCAGAAATAAAACAACTGACCATATCTAAGGCCAGGTCCCGCTCCCATCGGCTTCCCTTACTCCTTTCAGTGCCGACTGGAAGCACCCTGCGCATTTGATTTAGTGGGTCTTGACTAGATCTGCTAAATCGAATGCCAGAAGATTGATCTCTGGCACATAAGTACGGACGTGGCCTGAGCCTATGTTTTTGATCAGTAAAAAGAGCAGCTGTAAGTCATTCTGCACCTGCTACTGGGGAAGAATAAAACAGATACTGAGGGCGGTATCGATAAGCCTGCTTCTGATCAGAGGACAACTCTCTGCTCCTGAATCCAGTAATTCTGAACCTGATGGACATTCACCAAACCAACTTTAGAGCATTTCCCAAAGGAAAATGGTGACGATTGCTCTAACGTCTGAATCTGTTCAATGAAATCCATGTGCTCCATATGGCCTGAATAAATTAGCCTAGGAATTGGCCATTGCACATTTGAAACACTCTGGCTTACAGACGAACCAGTCCCTTGACCTATAATAACATCCTGGGAAAAAAGAGGTAACATTCTGTCACTCTGGAACAAAGGAATCTGTTCACAGAGCGTATCAATAAAAGCAGCCTTTTCCTACGGGTGAAATCGTGGACACAAGTTCTGCTCTGCTTCTTGTACAAAGCTCATAAACCCGTGTTGAAAAGCTCATGGGCCAACTCGATGAAAAAAAATTTTTAAAATGCCCTGGAGGGTCTTTGTCCAATGGCATTTAGTAACACAAAGCTTTCTCTAACTGCAATACAAGCAAAAGAGACATTCCGGGCAATGTTTTCAGCCAGCATAAACAAACATGGTTCGATTGGCTCCGGAGTTTCCATAATTTTTGAGAACCGCAAAAGAAGGGTCCATGTAGCTATATTTAGTGTCAGTTCCAGCTCAGGGATTTGGTGAAATATTCAAGCTCCCATTTAAGCACCACACTGAGGCTACGTCTAGACTGGCCCCAAATTCCGGAAAAGGGATGCAAAGCAGGTAAGTCAGCATAGGGAAATCCGCGGGGGATTTAAATATCCCCCGCGGATTTAAATAAACATGGCCGCCGCTTTTTTTCCGGCTTTTTTTCCGGCTTGGGGAAAAGCCGGAAAAAAAGCGTCTAGACTGGCGCGATCCTCCGGAATAAAGCCCTTTTCCGGAGGACCTCTTATTCCTACTTGAAGTATATTTAAATCCCCTATGGATTTCTCTATGCTGACTTACCTGCTTTGCATCCCTTTTCCGGAATTTGGGGCCAGTCTAGACGTAGCCTGAGGGTTTGAGTCTTTCTGATTTGGGGGAGGAGGGGATGTTTGGCTGTGAAGAAAAGAGAAGACATGTTAGGTCTGAGACCCGTGAGGTCGATGTCCTTGTTAGTTAAGCCATGCCAGTGTACAGTACCAATTGCCTGGTGAGATTTCAGCACAGTGAAGAAGCAGCCAGATAGTAAAACTGGGCCCATTTTTACCGTAGTTTGTATTCTCCAGCATTTCCAAATAGAGAAATAATTGGGCAGGGAACTTTGCCCCAGGAACAGAGAGAGGACCAGTTTGCCACCCTTGATGCTGCCCTGCGTGTGTGACCTTGATCCTGGGCACGTCTGTGCCGCTGCCTCTGGGCGCGAGCCAGAGGCCTAAAAATAGCCATTGTGTAGACATTGCAGCTTGGGCGGGAGCACGTGCTCTGATGTCTGGGGCTGGCTCCAGAGCCCCACGCCCCGGCCCCTTGCAGCAGCATAAAGCCCTGTCTGCCCAGCGTGAGCCCTGCTAGCATGAGGCTGCAGGCCCCGGCTCGGAGGCTTGTTCCCGGATGGAGAGTTTCCCGGTAAGCCCTGTGCAAGAGTTCAGGGCTGCAGCGGGGAGTGATACCTCTCCCCAAGCCCTGACGCTGACGCAGCCGGGGAAGTGGGGCCTTCTGTGCTGGGGCGAGTGGGGACGCGGTTAGGGCAGCAGGTCTGGCTTCTAGGCAGGGGGCCACGGGCTCTGTGGGCTGCCCATGCCCTTTCGGGTGAGAGCAGCTTGAGCCTCATGCCCCCTACCCCAGGGAGCCAGGCCTGCTGGGTGTTTGTGGGGCACAGTCTGGTGCCTGGGGCAGGCAGCCTGCCTTTGTGCTGCCCACCAGGAGCCACCCAGGTAAGTCTGAGCCCCAACCTCCTGCCTCACCCTG